AACGGCCTGGCGGGATCCAAAAGGTTAGGCTCTGCTCACTTGATCAAAGTAGATGCGGATGGAGCCCACGTTAGTGGCGCCCACTGCCGTCAATGAGAAGAACCCGTGTTTCCAGTCCCCACTCAGCACCACACGCTCATTGTGACAGAAGAGCTCTTTGATCCATCGGGCCATGCCAGGGTTCACTGACATCAAGGAACCTAAGGAGATAAGAAAACAAGCTACTTCCTGCTCAGAGCCTGGTGTGTTCATGCCAGAATGGCCTAAAAGCCAAAGGGACTCATAGGCTAAGTGTTGCTCCAAATTCCAAGCGGCACCCTTGCTTTTAGCCAGGCAGCCTCAAGTGGTTATCTCCTGGCCTTAACACCAGCCTAGAGCCCAATCCTCTCAAGTTAAGAGGCCAAGGGCCTCTAATGCCCTCAGAGGCAGCGCTCACCCTCAGCCAAACCTGGGCCTACCTGGGAAGTGGCGCCGATGTGAGACAGTCCAGTCAGTAGGGGAGTGGAAGCAGTGATAGTCTCCGGGGGCCAGGTAGATGACACAGTGGTAGAGCTCATTCCCTTCCCGAGTGACCAGCTGGTTCCTGAAGGAGTCACGGGAGGAGGCTGTAGGGTGGGGCAGAAAGAGGGGCTGACTCTTTGACAAGTTCTAGGTGCCATTCATCCCACAGTGAGCACCTGGTGCATGCAGCCTAGCTGGAGGCTCCAGTGAGAACTCCTGGCTGCATACCAGCCTGCTGCCCCACAGCCTCCCCGGCCTTTGTATTGTATTCCCTTGGCCCCTTAGGTCCTGTTAGCCTCTGATGTCTACCCCAGCTTTGACCCCAACTAAGCAATGACCCACCTGGAGGGAAGGACAGATCCTCTGTATAGGTTCGAGGACCCAGGAATGACTCCAGGGAGTAGGTTACGCCTTTTACTTGCTCCACCTCACAATTCTTCACCTGCCCAAAGGTGAGGATCTTGCCATCTGATGGGCTGATCTGGAGGGAACAGAGAGGCTTGATACTCAGCAGCATGGGGGGTGGGGAGGTGGTACCCCCTGAACTCCACCACCTGCCAAGCACCCAGGGAGTCCCGGTCTAGGACATGCTGACACTGAGGGACATACAGTACATGAGGGAGCATCCAGAGGGCCACAGCCAATGTGGGGCTGCTAAGTCTGGTTCAAGGTAGACAAGAATCTCATTTCCTAATGAAGAACAGAGACAAGAGCCAGCCAGGCCTTACCACACTGTGCAAGCCACAGACAGGCCGTGCCTGAGGCTTCAGCTTGCGTCGGAAGAACTCGCTGAGGTTTCGGTAGTGGTGCAGATCCTCCACAGCAGCCTCTGTCATGTTTACCCCAAAGGTCCAGATATACAGGCTGTAGACTGGCCTCCGCAGCCAGTAAGGAAGTTCCACCTGGTTCAGGCGACCCCAGGCACGTGACAGCAAACGCGTTGGCACCGACTTGTACAGGGCCACCTGCAGGCCATAGTATAGGAGGCTGAGTCATAAACAGAGCTATCACACTCCCACACCCCACATGTGAGAGAGGAGAGACAAAGACATAGACCTAGAGAAGCCACCACGAAGGCCCAAGTGTTCAGGCTGGTTTGTGAAGTGGCTGTTTCTCAGAAGGAACCAGACTGTGTTCACCAAATACTCAAACAAGCGCTGGCTATGCATACAGTCTGGATCACTTTTTGCTATTTCATACAAAGGTCAGGGAGCAGCTAGCTGCTTTAATCCCAGAGGTGGAGACAGGACTAAAAAGCCTTGGTTCTTGACGATGGGAGGTGGGAGAGAGAAATGGGCCTGGTACAAACCTGAAAGACTATCAGGAGGCATGCTACCCTTGTCCTCTAGCTACCCTAGCTCGCTGCCCACATTCCATACAACTCAAGAAAGCAGCAGGAGGCTCCCAAGAGCAAGGGGCAGGCCTGTAGTCCAGAGCATCCTCTTCACAGGAAGCAAGGGTGGTGTTCTCACTCCCAGAGCTGCAATATCACCTTGCCACATCCACCTGAGCAAGCCCATGGGCTCTCAAAAAGGCATGAGAAGACTTCTCTTTGGAAACTTTCAGTTATCTATCTGGTATGGAATACCAAGAGACAAGTACCAGTCCCACTGTCAGGCCAGAGTGCCCTGCAGAACTCTGGAGTTTTCTGCCACCATTGCTGTGTATCTGAACACAGCAGAGTACCAACTCCCTTAAAAGTGAAGTCATTTTAACAACTTTGAATAGTCCTCCCCCATATTAGTGTCTCCTGGCTGGTGCTCAGAGCAATACCATCATGTGCCCAAGGATACACTCTAGTGTCTAGTATACTCTTGTGGGCTTTTGTGATGCGTATATAGACTACCAGTGACCAAGAAGCAGGGCCTCCTTTTTGGGGTCAGCCTGTTAGGAAGCTGAGAGCAAGAGAGCCCTCTGGGCATATGCTGGCCAGGTTCTGCCTGTGCAGCCACCTGTGCAGTCCTGAGCTCCTCAAGCATGTATTTGAACTAACAGGCCCCGTCTAGCTGCAGCCTACCTAAACTGACTACCGGTATCCAGATTCCACTTGGATTTTTCTTAACAATCACCTCTCTGCTTGCTTCCGCCTGCGAGCATGGCATCATTTGTTATTGACCAAAACCAGTGCTCCTTCTAACACCAGTGGAGTTGTAGATTGTCACATGGCCGCCATCAAACAACCATCTCACACATTCCTACCCAAGAGTGCTTCTACTTGTGAAAACTTGTTTCTTTCTCTGTCTTCCCCGTGCCTCAACTTCAGGCCTGTCTAAGGAGGGCCATGGCCAAGAGTCCTATTTACACTTACCCTGCTCACAGGCCTCCATCCCACCCGGCTGAGGGGCCTGAGGGCACCGAAGGGCAGGAGGTAGTAGAGGATGGTCAGGGGCCAGGAGCGCAGTTTCAGAGCAGGTCTGGACATGCAGCTAAGCTGGCCTAGCCTCCGCCGCAGGGCCAGCTGGGGGAAGTGCAACCTGCAGGACACATGTTCACACATGGCCTGGGTCAGTGCCTACATCTGAGAGAAACTGAGGAGCAGGCCAAGCCCCTCAGCCAGTGTCATTCCTGCCCCTCCATCCCCGTCCCTAAGGTAAACTGCTTCTCCACTGGAGCCAAAGAGGCCCAGCAGCCATTGCAGTGCCCAGTTCATTCCAACCAACCCTGGTTCCGACTCAGGGACCTGGCTGCCTGACTCGAGGGCTCATTTCACAGTGTCTCCCACCCGCCAGCTGACTGAACAAGTGGCAACAGGACAAAGGCAGTTCAGACCCAACCCCTTGATCCCTATATGGTAGAGCACCCTCCAAGTACAGCAGCAGCCCCAGCAAAGGCCCTGGGGGCCCAGAATGAGATGGTAAGAGAATCTGCCTTATACATGCAGCCTCCCATACGAAGGAGGGTTGGGACCCAAGGATGGTTCTGTCCTCACAGGTGCCAGAAAAACTGAGTCTAATTGAAACACGGCACAAGACTGAAGTGCCATGAGCCCAGCCAGCTGGACCACACCATTGTGGCACCTGTGAAAACCTTCCAATCTTTTGCTTCCTCTTCTGCTTAATGACAGGACATAGCTGTGGCTCCATCCACCTGTGTCTCTGGGTCAGGCTCTCTAAAATCTCATCCACAGAGTTAGGGGGAGGACCACTGCCTATTTCCAAAGCCTCTTCCCTACTCTGCTAGAGCCACATGGATGACCCATGGCTCCACCAGTTTTACAAGTTGACTTCATTGTCTTCTATACAGTCAGCTTTGTAAAGGCACAGAAGCCTTTTTGCTGTAACCTCAGCTTCCTGGATGCAACTAAGTTCCCTGTCACATCAGGTCCTAGAAAATATTCCTGGCGCCTCAATGTAGCCTTCATGAGACCATACTGCCACCCACTCGGAGAATGTCCCCAGGCATTCAGATTCTTGCTTGAAAAACCACATGTGATTAAACAAGCGAAGGCTGCCATCTGTAGTTGTGCTTGCTCTCAAGAGAAGCCGAGTCCTCTGTCTCCCAGAAACTGAGCAAACCAAGGAACAAAAGGAGATTTCGGCAGATAATGGGGGTGAGTGGCTGGCAGTCAGTCCATCAGTGACAGCTAAGCCTAAGCTCCCAGTGCTAAAACCACAGCACACAAACTGTCCTGCATTCCTTTTCTTTCTTCCATTCCATCCCATTATGTTTTTAAAACACAAGGGAAGGTGACAGGGACCAAGCAAAGGCAAATCACTGTTCTCCCCGAGGGCTGCCCCACCCAAGTCACTGCAGGAGGCCAATCCCGAAATGATGGGGGTTAGGAGGGGTCCCTCTCCCAAGTGTAAAAAGCAGGGGTCTAGGGTGGGAGGACAGGCCTGGGTGCCCTTGCTAAGGGCAGAAGTCCATTCCTGTCTCCCCCCACTGGGCCCTCCTCCCAGCCAGAACCACAGGTACCTGAAGTGGACTCTCCTACTAAGGGCACTCAGGACCCCCTCTCCAGGCCCCTCCAGCCAAGAGGGCTCACTCCCAGACCCCCTACTGCCACCTCCACATCAAGGCCACTGGACTTGACCTTTGACCTTCCTGAGATTGTGCCTGGCTACGGTAGGGTTAGGTCTCTGTGGGCAGCATCTCACCATTTCGCTGCTGCTTGGAGCTCTGGTCCGTGCGGCTTCTCTGACTGACACATTGTGGATACACACAGAGAGGGTGTTGTAAGCCTCCACAAGAGTGCGCTTGCTCGCTTGCTCACTCACTCGCCTTTGTTTTTCTCTTTCCTCCCCTTCCCCCTCGCCAGAGGAACTCCAGTGTGGTCACTGCTCCAGTCGCTGTTGGCAATGCTTCTAGTCTCTCTTCACTCTTGGTGGCTCACAGGCACTGGTTAGAGGACCACAGCTATTGCAAACAAACAGGTACCAGTCATACAGCTGCTTGGACCTGTTCAGGTCACCTGCTGAGGCTTTGCTGCCAGGGCAGAAGCCCCTGTACTGGGTCAGCTCTATCACCCAGGTTTGGTCACCTGTCTTGTCCCTGACAGCTAGCTGTCCAATGCAGTTCTCCCTGTTCTGCTGTAAGGCAGCAGGTAGGTAACGACCTGGAGCTCTCTGCTCCAGCCAGCCCTGATAGAGAGTTGACCAGACACTGTCACGACATCTAGGCGCCACTGGGTTCCAGAAGCACAAGGTAGGAATCTGAGCCCTGTGCTCCAGCCTGATTGGCCCCTCCCTCAGAGGACCTGACCCATTTTCCATTCAGGTTACAAAGTAGCATCTGAGGAATGACAGAGGGGGCAGCCAGCCAAGACATCCAGGCAAGGTATCATGGTGTGTACCTGAGCACAGTAACATGCTGTGATCCCTCTTGGCCCTGTGTAATCCAGGCGTCTTCACAAACTGTAACACCTGGGCTATCTCAGAAAAAACCAGCCTGAGGTTGAGCAGCAGCCAACACTGAAGCCCAAATCTTCCTATCACACCTTCCAATCTTCCTTCAAAAAGCACTTTGGCTAGGCCATTCCTTGGCAATCTACAGGGCCCTTGCTCACAGCCTCCTCACTGTACTGATAACAGGGAGAAAAGAGCAAGCATTCCACAACCGTGGCTATCTCAGCCCAAAGTCCCAGGGAGGATGAGAGCTCACAATGGCTAACTGGAAGCTCTATACTTGTTCTCCAGCCTCAATCACAGCCTAAGGAGGAAGTCAGGCACCTGTCACCACTTTCAGATGAAGAAATGCTGGCTGGCTTCCAGAGTTACTTGCCTGTGGTGGCACAGACCTTTAATCCCAGCACTAGGGAGACAGAGGCAGGTAGATCTCTGAGTTCAAGGCCAGCCTAGTCTATAGAGTTTCAGGACAGACAAAGCTACAAAAACAAAACAACAAAACCCTGTCTCCAAAAACAAACAAGAGTTAATGCCTGTGACAGAGAACAGACTCGGGCAAGGATCAGCTAGGCAACACACAGTGACAACTCTATCTACACAAGGGTTTGTGTGTGACACTGGTAAATTCATTTTAATCAGAGAGGTAAAAATTCCAGCCCTGGTACCTGCTTGCAAAAGCCAATGAATCCCACATATGCTAGTAGCTTCTAGGAGAAGGGACAACAAAGCAACGAAGGCCTGGGTATGTACAGATTTCTCCCTGTGACTGAGGAAGTGGAGGACTGGTCTACCCTAGCACACAAGCATCCTTAAACACCTCTCTCAAAAGATGTCGGCACCAGATCAGTACACATGGGAGCTCCCCCAACCCATCTAAGGGTCAGGGCCAGGCTTCAGGGACAACCATGATTCTGCTTCGGGTTATATGAGCCTCCTTAACTTTCCATCCATAATAATGAGTGTGCTCTGACCATTCATTCTACACTGAGTGCACGCACACACCCTGCCTGGCTGAACAGGCTTCACACTGGCCAGGAAAATGGGCTCAGGGGTGACAATGCCATCGTGTGAGCTGGTGTCAGGCTCTCAGAGGCTCTTTCCTTGTTTTATAGAGTCCAGGCTATGAAATGGGTGCAGAGCTCACACCCAAGATTAATGGGGGAACAAGTATGACCTTGTGGGATGGGGGGAACCTAAGGAGCCTAGGTTGCCTGTTAACTTTTCCTTACTGTCCTACCAAGTAGGATGCTAACTATGGCAGCTCTGAACACCTAAGCTTGCAAATCCAGCTCAGCTAAAACATAAAGGTTCTCAACTGAGATTCACACAGGAACTTAGGCATTTTCTTCTTTCATAGAACTATGAAGGGCCAATGAGGCCCTTCCAGGTTGGGGTTCTGACAAGCTTGGTGGTCCACCAGGACAGGGTAGCCTGGGCTCCTCCTGTCTGCAGCAAGACCACTTCCTTGAAGAGGCACTAAGGCCTGCTCCTAGAAACTGAGGCACCCAAACTGCACTTGCCCACAGAGAGGGGATGACGAGCATTGTGTTCTTGCCTCTATCTCTTTCTTCTCTTATACACGGGATACCTGGGTGTCAGCATTTCCTAACTATATCACACAGGGATCCCTCAAGTCCCAAGGAAGAGAATGAACTTAGCTCTTCCCCCCCAGAAACAGGCTGAGTTCTATCTATCTAGTCAAAAGCAACAAGGACAGGGACAGGCCCAGACAGTCTACATTCTCACCTCCAAAGCTGAGCTACTTCAACAGCAATGCTCCCATCCTTCTCACTTCACAGACCTCCACCACTTGGACCCAAAGCCAGAGATCTGACTCTCCCTAGCCTCTGAGCACTCAAGGCTTTAGGTGAGTTCTGGGCAAGAAGACCTGAGGCAGGTGGAGTGCTGACACCTCCTGTCCCTTCTGAGAGGCTAGTTCAGACTGACCAGCCAGACTTAAAAGCTACATGCCTGAGGGCCAGTCACCTGCTCCATGAGAACTCAGAGGGATCTATGGTGAGCACTAATCAATTGATTGCTGCCATCCTGAGAGCTGATAAAACACTGCTGCTCTTCGTTGGCAGACAAGGATGGGATAGCGCCTCCGCCCACTCCCTTGAGACTCAGAACAGGGTTACAACCAAGGCCAGAGTAACCTTTTAAATCTCAACCTGGTGACTCCCCAACTCTTACCTCCTTTTCCAGCAAGGGAAGCACACTCTGAGAAGGCAAAAAAAAGGGGCAACTATGAAAGGGGAGCCCAAAATATATGAGCCAGTTCTGCCTAGTAAGTAGGAAGTTTAGGCTGATGCAAGCACATGGGGACAGGAGTTAGTTCTGCAAGGACATGCTGTTCTGGGGCTCATACCATGTCCTCCTCCATCTGCCACTGCTTGGGAGGAAGGCAAGGATACCTGGTCCCCAATGGAATGGAACATTCCAACTGAAGTCAGGTCAACAAATGGACCAGGCCAGTTAGCAGTTATAGGAGAGAGAGGGGGGCGGAAGAGAGGGGAGTGGGAGGGTGGGAGGGATAATGAGAATGGTGAGAACGTTAGAGGGTATATGTGCTTATGGGGTGGGTGGTACAGGTATGCTCTGAGGTTTGTGCGCACTTCCTATTCCTGACTTGGTAGGCTCTGCTTTGGGCAGGAGGTGAAAAGCATGCAGACTCCAACAAGCTCTTCCTGAACAAGAACCCTCCAATGCCCCAGACCGTGCACCCCTGCTCTCTTCCCACTCATAACCCCACCCTGGAGGGTTTAGGCCATTTCTTCCCCGAGGCAGGGCCATCTGGCTGGTGAGTCCAGGGAAGAAGCTAACTCCTGTTCTACATTTCTAGGCTGGAAGGAGACAAAACTTCAGAAGGAGAGGGCAGGAAAATGGACCCTTCCTGGGCAAACCCAGTAATTCTTCCAGGAAGTCACCAGCAAGAAGAGGGGATAAAGAAAGGGCCTGGATAGCCTGTAAGTAATCAAGTCAGTGGCTGAGGGGTGGGGTGGGAGAAAAAGACGGACAAGTCTTCCTCAATTTCTCCAAAAAAAAAAAGTCTTCTCTCAGATACTCTATGTGGTACCTGGGCCCCCAAGACAGAGACAGTAAGCATCGACCAGGCCCTCTGCAGTTAAGTCTATAGGGATGCTTCCCTCTTCCCTGTGTGCCCAGGCGGCTTCAGGCCCCAGACAGCATAAGAGAAAAAGCATGCTGGGAGTCCTGGGCAGCCCCCAAAGCCTGCTCGCACTTCCCGCACCTCCCAGCATCTTGGTCACTTCCTGCCCAGCCTTTTGGAGACTAGAGAAGCTACAGAATGTGGAGGAAATGAACTCAAGCAGCCTGACTGCGGGGGGGGGGGGGGGGCAGGAGAGCAAGACAGTTCAAAGAGATTCCTCAGTTCCCAGCTGTGAAAGAGCCAACTAGAAGGCAGTAGCAAAGCGCTAGGAGGCACTCCCAGCAGGTCCCCAGCCTCAGGGGCCGGGTGGGGAGAGCCCCCTGAAAAGCCTGCCGCCTGCTGCAAGTCCCTCTTCTGACTTCTATCTACTCACTCACGAGGATTGTCCCAGCTCAGTTTCTGGGCTCTGGTCTTCAGCTCCTCAGCTTTGGCTAGGATGAATCTGAAGTCTGGAGTCTCAAAGCAAGCAGGGGCTCCGGTTCCTGCTGAGGGCGGGGCAGGAGGAGCAACACCAGACGCAGTTAAAGTCACCACACCCTCTGAGCGCTAGCCAAGCACAAGAAGCCCTCAGGGCCCTTTAAAAGGAGGGGCTACAACCTGGAGAAAAGAGGAAGAAGCCGGTAGGGGCCCTGGCCCCACCCAGTCATAGTCTTCAACAGCGGACCAAAGATTATGACCCTCTAGCAACACCAAAAAAGCCCAACCGCTTCCGACACTCAACACCCAGTAGAGCGACATGGGCCCAGCGCTCCCCAGAGGAAGCCTCCTGGGATTTCAGGGACCCTGAATCCTCAGCCTCTGACTGGCTTCTGCACTATGGCCCTTCACCAACCCGGCAAGACAGAGGCCTCAAGAAGACCGGCTTCTCCACTGTGCTGACCACAAAGTCACTTCCGGCATCCCTTTCTAACTCCAGAAGTTCTAAAGATATGGAAATCCTTTTCTCCACACTGGATCATGAAGACACAAGGTTACCCCTGCCAACTTCATTTGTACCCACCCTCCCCTACCACCAAGGCCATCAAACTCTGACGGACAAAGCCCAGACTGGAAGAACAATGTGGATGGGTGAACAATAGTAGCTGTTAACAGGGGCCCCTCACCCACAGACTGGAAAACATGCAGTACTTCCAAGCTGGAGCTATCCTGTGGGGTATGTCTTTCTACCCACTGAAATAAAAGGTCCCAGACTGCATTTAGTAGACCACCCTATACCCATAGGATGCCAGGCCTGCCCAGCTAGGAAATGAATGGGCCTAACATTTTCGAAGGAAAGTGGAAGATTACAACATTCTATTAAATAAGCCTCATTTGTGTCTGGAGTCAACTCAGCAGTAGCTGAGTTGCCTTGGATGGCTTATTAGTCTTTTCATGCTAGGCTACTGTAAAGGGTACACCTCCACTCCCCTCTGGCCACACAGAATTTCATTCCCCAAATAACTATTGTTTGGAACTAGATGACATCCCATGACAGGGCTTCTGGAGAGACAGGTAGGTCACAAATGCTGAAAAAAAGACTAACAGCCCCACACACCTGTCCTCACCTGGATCATGCCCAAGGCAGTGAGTGCTATGTGACAAGCTCAAGGCCTGTGCTATCCCAGGAGCAAGCGCACACCTATAGGGCTATCCTCTGAGAGGTCCATGATAGTCCACACCCATACCAGCCCACCGGAAGCGGGAGGCAGAATGCACACAGGCTGCCTCTATTCACCTGGCCTGTGTACCCAGCGGACACTACTATTTAGCCTGTGACCTCACTGAGCTCCAGTGAGACTTCAGACTTTTCACGGAAGACTATCTGGAGTCTGGGGGAGTGGCTCAGTTAGTAAAGCACTTGCTTTTCAAGCAACAGACCTGAGTTTGATCCCTGGGTGCTGGACACCACATGTCTTTTCTATAAGGAAACACCTTTAGGATTTCAAACAATAGTTAACAATGAATTTCTTTCTGGGGTACCCCACCCATAAGCTTAGTTCACTACATAGAAGTCCCTTTGGGCCACCCATGCCCCTAATTTCCATTCCCTCTACTCTTCTGGGCTTCTGGCTCAGATTGCCACAAAGTGCCATTGGGAGACTCTGCAGGCTCGAAGACCACTTAGCTGCCAGCAACCAAAGGCAAGGGATCTGGAGCCCCTTGGAGCACAGGCTAGACCCCAGCTGGGTAAATTTCATGCATTCCCTGCCTGTACACTGTATAATGCCTGTGTCAGGGATGAAGGTAGCTGAGGGACAGAGTCACCTCTTATTCCTCAGGGGTCCAGAGAAACAGTGAATACGGCTGGTATCTCTGAGTGGCACAAGAAGTCACAGGCAGGTTCATTTTCCATATGGACAGCTAGGAAGCCTGGGGCAAGCACAAAGTGCTCTCCACACAAGATTCTCCCAGCCCTGCCCAATTCCTCTTTTTTAGTCAAAAATGTTTCTTAGGAACCTCACCCCTCACACAATTCCTCACTCAATTTCTAGAAAGCCCTAGGGCCCATGCAGGGCACTGACTCATAACTTAAGGGCCCTATACCAACACTGAGAGATGGCCTGCTCTAGGGTAGACTAAGCCCAGCAGAAAGCATGCCAGGCCTCCAAGTCATCTCCCACCAGCCAAGGAGATGTTATTTTATACTAACCCATCCCTATTCTTTTTCTGTCAAGACAGCTACAGTCTCACTCATAGCCAAGTGAGCCTGGGACTCACCAAGTAAGCTCCCATTAAAATTGTGGCAACACTCCTGCCTAAGCTTCCTGAGATATTGGATTCTAGGCTGATCTTGTTTTGTTTTGTGAGACAGGGTTTCTCTGTGTAGCCCGGACTGTCCTGGAACTTGATCTGTAGACCAGTCTGGCCTCGAACTCAGGAATCTGCCTGTCTCTGCCTCCTGAGTTCCAAGGCTGGCTGGCCTTGTTTTTAAATTGCACATCTTTAATCTCGGCTTTTCCAAACATTGGCAACTCAATACCAGGGTGGCACTCTCTCAGTGGTACAGAGTTGTGCCTAGGCTGAGGGAGATAGGAACAGAAGTAAAACTGGAGTAGGAGTTGGAGGGCTGGCCACATGGTAGCATAGCCTGAACCACCTAGAGGAGTGGCTACATGTCTCAGAGCCATGGTCCCTCACAGAAGCAGCAAGGCTAGTGCCTGAAGACCCTCTGAGAGTCCTTCTTCCTCTAGAGCTCCCAGTTCTCTGAGGACAGAGCTAGCCTCTGCTAGCCAGCTCCATCAGTGTCAGAAAATGCCTCCTGCCATTGGCACTGCCACGGAAGTAGAGCAGGTCAGCAGGCCTTCGGCAGCCAGGTTCACTATCTGCTCACTTAAACACACACAACTGCTTCCTCTACACTTATGCACTCCTTGCCTGCACATATATAGCCCCATTTAACAACTGCAGGATGTCAACAGCAGCTCTGCTTCTACCTAATAATAGAGTTAATAATAGAGTTACAGAATTTTACAACCACTTAAGAACTATCCGTGTGTGCCCAATGCTGGCCACAGTTGTGTACATGGTGGTACAATAGGCTGGCAGTACTCCCAGGTGTGAGCATGAAGGAGTGCCTGGCACTTCACAGGGTCTTGATCCCTGCTTGAGCTGGATAGTGGGAGAATGTACAGACTAATCCATCCTTCCTTTTCTCAAACTGTAATCTTGTATCATACATTTTAAACATATTCTAAGACGAGGCTAAAAGTTGGGAAGTGGGTGTCCTTGACCAGCCCAGCTTCCCCTGGCTGAGGCCTGGCCTCTTGCAAAGCTGCCTCGAAGCTCCTCAGACCATATTTGCATAAAAGCCCCAAGATCAGGCCCAAAATAAGGATCTATGCTAATTCTCAGGTGAGAATCATGAGGGTTTCTCTGTGGCTTTGGAGGCTTTGGCATGTACGTATGTGTATCTTATGCATGCTTGTGCCCATGGAATTCAGAAAAGGGTGTCAGATCCTCTGGAATTGAATTATGGCTGTAAGCCATTACCATGTGCCAGGGCCCTCCTAGCTGGCATACTGGGACTCCTACCCTGAACTCTTCAGCCCAGAGGGCTGGACTGCTCTTCCCTATATAATCCAGCCATATAGGTTGCCTGTTCTCTTTGTACCTTGGGCCTCCTGGCTGATACACTTGGTTTCCTTCTCCCTTCCCCTCCCCCTCTCCCTCTCCCACATAGTCTAGCTCAGTCTGGTCACGTCCACTCTGGACTCTCCCAGACATCCCTGCCTCTAGCTATGCTCTCCCACATATCTACAATAAAATTTCTCCACCACACCTAGGAGCAGCCATGTCCTTTCCTATTTATTTATTTTTCATTGAGGACCCATATTCTCCTACAAAAAGGCTCTTAGTCCTGGTCAAAGTAAGGACAATTTCTTAGTTGGGTGGTGATAGCGGTGGCACAGCCTTTAAAACCAGAACTCAGGAGGCAGAGACAGGTGGATCTCCAAGGCCATACTGCTCTACAGAATGAGTTCCTCAATAGCAACAGCTACACAGAGAAACCCTGTCTTGAAAAAAAAAAAAAAAAAAAAAACTTGACAATTTCTTATAAGGTTAAATATATACTTAGAAAATGACCAAATGATTTATTTTTAAGTGAATAAGGGAAATGCAGTAGCTGGAGTAATGGCTGCAATTGCCAGCACCATGTGGTGACTCACAACCATCTGTAATTCCCGTTCCAGAGGACCTGACATCCTCTTCTGACTTTCAAGGGACAAGGAACACATGCAGTGAGCACACACACACATGCAGGCAAAAACACTCATACACATAAAATAAGTAAATCTAAAAATTAAGAAATGGAAAGAAATTTGCAAACGTTTATATGTGAAGTTCACATTGGTTGTATTATATACCAAGAAGAAAGGCTGCAAACAACCCACAGTCCACCAAAAGATGAAGGACCAAGAATACTCTACAGTGCACCCCAAAAAAACATGCACTCTCCAATTCTGGTTTATTTTTACCATGGTACAAAAGTTCATGCAGTCAGTACAAACCATACTCCAAACTTGGGACTGTGATCTTTTCCTGTGCTAATGGCGTGCGTTTTACAGTAACACCTAGAGATGCTGTGCAGTGGCATAGAACTACCTCACCCAGTCAGCCATGAAAACACAAAGGCAAGCAGCCAATATTCTACAGTGTGCTGTTCTGTTGAACTATGACTTTCAGCAGGCTCCATGTTAAATACTTTTTTTTTTAAACTTAAAGCATAAACATGACAAGTTTGTCAGGAATCAAGCCCATCCTAAGTGGAGGAACATCTGCCCTACCTGGCAGGAAAAAGAAACAAAGTACCAACATATGTGACGTTAAGACAAATTCTTTTCTTCTCCCATTCTCTCCTCTCCCCTTCTCTTTCTCTCTCTCTTCCTTTCCTCCCCTCTCTTTCAACCAGTGATCTACAACTTGAAAACCCAGAACCCTCCCTTCACAGAGAAACCTCAGGCTTGTCAGCCTGTTGAAAACTGATTTCTTTGCCCACCAACCAACCTATGCTAATTATAAACTATTGTAGAATATTATTTTAACTATGTA